GATTTTGTGTGTTGTTCAGTGTTCTCGTTAACGAGTGCAGGAGAGTTTTCCGATAGACTGATTTAGGCAGATACTTTTTGCACGCGGCAAGGTTGTATTTGCGAGTTGCGAGACACAATGGATCTCGAAAAGTTAGTTGCGCTTGGTGAGAAGATGGGTCTTTCCGGCGCCGAACTACGGAAATGGGTAAGCCAGAAGGAGAAAGAGGTGGTGGAGAGAGAGAGGTTGGCGGCAGAGAGGGCCAAGGAAGAAAAGGCAGCTGAGTTGGAGAGAGAAAGGCTGGCCGCTGAAAGGGCGAAAGAAGAAAGAGAGGCAAAAGAGCGACAGCTGAAGGAAGAACGAGAGCAGCAATTGAAGTTGGAGCTGGAGAGAGAAAAGTTGGCAGCCGAAAGGGCGAGAGAAGAAAGAGAAGCGGAGATGGCTGAAAGGGAACGGCAGCGGCAGCACGAGATGGAACTCGAGCGGCTCCGTTTACAACAGCGAAGCGAAACTCCCGTCCAAGCTAGAGTTGAAAGCAGCGAACGGGAAGATCACGGCTTCCGCTTGAACCCAAGCAAGCTGCTCGTAGCGTTTGATGAAAGGAAGGACGACCTTGACGCGTACCTTCACCGATTTGAGACGATTGCGAAGAGCCAGAATTGGCCGGAACATCAATGGGCAACTGCTTTGAGTACTTGCTTGAGTGGTGAAGCGCTCAGTGTGTACGGTAGGCTGACGCCGACCGATGCAGCCAACTATGCAAAGGTGAAAGCTGCTTTGTTGAAGCGATTTAGATTCACTGTGGAAGGATTCCGGGACAGATTTCGGACAGGAAAGCCAGCTGATGGTGAGACGGCTACGCAGTATGCCGCCCGACTTTGCCATTATTTCGACAGATGGATTGAACTTTCAGGGACAGCACAGGAGTACGATGAGCTTAGAGAGCTGCTAATTAAAGAACAATTTCTTACTAGTTGCCACCCAAGCCTGTCGCTGTATTTGAAAGAGAGGAAGGCGGAGTCATTTGAAGGAATGCTTGAATTGGCTGATCAATTCTTAGAAGCGCAAGGAGGAACTAATTTGGCCAAGGTCAAGAAGGATTGTCCCGATGATTCGAAGAAATTGGCTCCCGAAGAAAAGAAGCGTGCACCAGAGAGCATTCCACGATGTTTTCTGTGCAACCGAGTGGGTCATCGCGCGAAAAACTGTCGAACGATCTTTACGAGCCCTCCGGCAGTAAAATGTTTTAAGTGTGGTCAGACTGGGCACAAAGCAGACGCTTGTCGGAACGGAGTGAGTCAAACTCACCAGGTATCTTGTGTGCAAGCGGCACCGAAATCTGATAATAATGCCGTCACTGATGGATTCGTAGAGTTGAAGAATGGGGAGAAAATTCCTATTGTGGGGGCTGTAATGTCAAAACAGCCAACCGGTGTTACGAAGGGAATGCCAACGCTTCCTGGAAAGATTGCAGGCAAGAAGATTACGGTTCTAAGAGACACCGGTAGCTCCACGGTTATCGTGAGGAGAAATTTGGTACGGGAAAGAGAGTTGACAGGCAGAACGAAACCGGTTTGCCTAATTGACCGTACGGTCCGGATGCTTCCCGAAGCAGAAATTGAGGTTGAAACCCCGTACTTCAGCGGGAAGGTTACTGCGTTATGCATGACGACCCCCCTGTATGACCTTGTCATCGGAAACATCGACGGGGCGCGAGGGCCAAGTGATCCAGAATGTTTGGGAGAAGACCCGAAAATAGAGCCCTCGCCAACACAGCGGCCGCGAGATACAGTGGAGGAACATCCCGTGACGGATCTCACTAGAGCACAAGGTGAAGCTGCGGCGCAAGAGACAGCGAAGGAGAAGACGATCGTGTCGAATAAGTTCGCGGGCCGAGCAACCGGACTTACGTCGGCACGACCTCAACCGACCGACAGTGTAAAGGAGACGGAGTTGGCCAGCCGGGAAAAATGTAGAGGCATGATCAAGCGGGTAAATAAACAGACAGGACCCGTCGAATGTAATGACCCGTTAACGGTGTCGGAAGAGACAACGATGGCTGAGACGACGCCTCAGATATCGTCGTTGGAAAAGGCTCGCCGAAAAAGAACGTGGAAGCACAAGAAGAGATCGAGCGAGCACCGCAAAAAGGGGCGCAAGCGCTGTTCGAAGTATTCAGGATAAGTGCTGAGGTCGAATCAGAATGTGTTGGGCAGTGCTGAGTGCCATATGTTGTGTTATTGTTCTTGTTATCCTGTGTCTCAAGTGTATGTCGAGCGAGTCAGTGTTCTGTATAGTGTTGTATAATTGTTGGATAGACAGAACTTTGTACGTTTGTATTGTTTAGAATGTGTGATGAAGTGTTGTAGGCATGTACCTGTGGCTATATTTCATGTGTTGTGGAATTGAACTACAATGTACGATTGTATTGAGTGATATATTGTGAATGTGAAGTGTCATGAGCGACGGATTGTGTTACAGTCTGTGAGAATGTGTGGTGACTGTTCGCGCTCGTTTGTGTGGTTTTGAATATTATGAGATAATATTCTTAAAGTGGGGGGCAGTGTCACAGAACGAGCGCTAAAAAAGAGCGCGCCGCCAAATCCCTGCGACAACGGGCGGCAGAAACGCCGCGAGGTAAAAAGAAAAAAAAAGAAAGCAAACATCCAGGGCTCCCGGGCGCGCGCTCTCCCCGCAGAAGCACGGCTTCGCAGACGATCCTCCTCACCCCACATCGGCGGCCCAGCAAGACCGCGATTCTTCTCGAACGAAGGAGGCGGGGTCAGACCGAGTGAATCATCCTCGGGAGAGGGAAGTCGAACCGTCTCGTGCCTCTCCCCAGCCTTCGCTGCGTTTCGCGCCGACGAAATGACGAGAAACATCTGGAAAGTCGCGCGCAAGGTATTTAACCGAGCAGCCGAGACGAGAAATCAGGAGGTGACGGAAGTTGACGCCAGAGCGCGTAGGAATTCCGCCGTGTAGTCGGCGAAGGTTCTGCCCGTAGTGACAGAACAGGAGAAGACGGAAAGTTAGCGCCGGAGCGCGTAGGGATTCCGCCGTGTAGTCGGCGAAGGTTCTGCCCGTAGTGACAGAACAGGAGGAGACGGAAGTGAGCGCCAGAGCGCGTAGGGATTCCGCCGTGTAGTCGGCGAAGGTTTTTGGTCCGTAGGGCCGAGGCCGGAGATGAAGAGGATTTACACCTGAGGGGTGACGACTCGAGCTACCGGCAAGAGTGTGTGTTTACCGCTATCGAGCGAAGACGCGGGCAACAGCTGCGTGTGTGAAGCCGACGGATTTCCGGCGAAGAAGTTGAAGTTTGAAGAGTGGCCAATTGAAGACGGGAGGTTTCCTGGAAGAGAAACTTCAGGGCTGCGGAACGACAACAACGCTGGACTTTGAGTGAGTGATTCTCGGAAGAGTATCATTCAGACTTTTGTTCCAAGGACTTTGGACTGAATAGGTTTTCTATCTCTTTAGTCCTTAAGTGTCTTGGTTGTTCAATGCATGCGACTGCATTGTGGTGCGTATTGTTGTCTGTGTCCGTTGTTTTGAGTGTGGCTGATTGTACCGTGTAGTACGTTGTTTGATTGGTGACGTATTGTATGTAACTATAGTGGAGTGTGCATTTTTGTGTATTATTTTCGATCTGCCATTATTGAGAATATAATTTGTTTGTTTATCAACTCTCGGCTCTGACTTGTTCTTTGGGCCACAGCCGGCGTCCGCTGGCGCACCAAAAAGGACCACTTCTAAATTGTCCACGCTTTCGTGGTGCGGTTCGGGGGGCCGATACTTCGGCTCTTGGAATTAGCCCGGCGATCGCCTCCCTAATAAACGGGACAGGTGTGACACCCTCTTCCACGAAACATCCATCCCCAACACAATAAAGGTCGTAGGTTGGCGAGGGCTAGGGCTTTCATAAAGAACCTCTCCGGAACAGAGACATTTGTGGACGCGGCGCGCCACGCCGACGGCAGCGGGTTTTCCGTGGCAGTAGTCAATGACAGGGGAGAACTTGTCTCGGCAGCTTCAGTGAAGACCTCCTTGGTCGATGTAGCAGAACAGGCTGCTGTAGCGCTGGCATTACTGGACACGAAACGCACCACGGTGTACACCGATTCCCGAGCGGCCGTTAGGGCGTTCGCATCGGGATTGATAGCCACAGAGGCAGCCAGAATTCTCCACAGCAAACCCCCCTCAGATGTTATTCATCACATAGTCTGGTTTCCCGCTCACATGGGACCAGACGTACTGCCGGGTCACCTGAACCCAAACGAGATAGCCCACGACTGTGCGCGAGGTTTCACAAGCCGCGACGGGGTGGTCTCTCGGGTGGGTTCGGGAGAGCTCGTCCACAGTGATCCTCTCGTTACTTTTCACGAGATAACATCTCATTACAGAGGAGAGCGACAGACTTTTCCCTTTCCCCATCATAAGCTCCACAGATCACAAGCAAGCACGCTCCGCATGCTCCAGACGGGGTCTTACCCCTCTAGGGGCTTTCTGAGCATGCTTCATCCGGATATTGATCCACTTTGCCCAGATTGTGGTGAATTTTGCTCTTTGAGTCACATGCTCTGGCAGTGCCCTGCGTTACAGGATTTTAAAACAGAAGAAGACTGGACGACAGCAATCACAGACCCCAGACAAGACGTCCAGCTTCAGGCTGTCCAGAGGGCCCGTGAACGAGCGGAGAGGCATGGCCTCCCTGTTCCGACATGGGACTAGCCAACGGCTGGGTGGGGACCTACATAGTTGGCCCGCTGCCTTGCCTCTCAGGACCAAATAAAGTTGTTTGTCCTGTCCTGTCCGGTGCCAAACATTGTGTAGGGCAGCAAACTAGACGCCATTCCTTTCTCGATGATACGCTATTACGCACTTCCCACTCACCAGTATAGCGTTATGGGTCACAATTGCAAAACAGCAGCAAAGGTTCTCGTTAAAGTACCGATTGAGAGTTAGATCTGGTGCTATGACAGACGAACACACATGGACGAACAAAGCGTTATGAACGCACTCACCCCTGGAACGGAGGTCCTTGTCAGCCATGTCTTCCGACTTGGCCGTCTGGTAGTCCACGGCAGTCTGGAGCTTCTTTAGCGACGCCCCTTGCTGCTCATGTTCCAGGAGATATTTCTATTGGAAGAGGACAGGGAAGAATCAGAAGTAAGTCAAGGTGGTCTCACGTGTTACCTCAAATAACATCAGCGCAGCACTCTTAGTTACAAGAACATACTTAGCCACGGAAAAATTTGCGAAATGCAGGATTTACGTTAGCACATAGCCTCGAACGCGAAGTCTCAGTGTGTACTCGTCAGCTTTGCAACGGTAGTAAGGAAAGCCTACTAACGTATAGCCTTCTGTCTTTTTACGAGACAGTCTGCAACGCAGCTTCGCAACGTAGTACACACTGATCTTTACGATGAAATGATCTCGTCTTGATGGAACGAAAATTCACTAATGGTGCGACCTGCTGCTGTGCCATTCAAACAGGTGGGTTACCGACGATGATTTTACGTGTGCCATAAAAAACGAGTCCCACAAATATGTGTGCTAAGTTGGTCGTGAAAAGAACCCCCTTAATCATCTGCAAAGGGCGCAGAGTAGGCCAAAACAAGCATATCTGAAAAAATCAGGCCTCTGCACCTTTCTCAATCTTTTTGTCTTCAATATATTTTGATCACGACAAAGCTCACAAGATGGCATATGTTGAACAGGGGTTAGCAAGTGAAAGCAAAAGACACTGTTTTCATTAATTTCTCTTGTATAAGAAAACATTTAAAAAGAGCAGTCGCGGAATGCTGAGAGCCATCCCACAAGAAACAACACAACATTTTTCAGTTCATTGCCGCCATATGGCTGGACCGTTGGTAAGTAGCAGTTAGTCAGTCAGGCAAAAAGCCAGTTCAGGGCTCTAGTCCGAGACAACGCCTCCTCTAGAAAGATGCCTGCCGCGTGAGCCATAAACCAGCTGCCCTACCCTTTCCCTCCTTCCTCGTTTCTAATGAGAGTGGTAGCCGGCGATTCTTGCGGTGGTCGCTTGCAACATACATTTGCGCATGCGCACTCTACCACCTCCGATACCACACCGCCTCGTCCCCTTTGAAAGGAACAAGGTGGAAAGTGGCGCCATTTCTCGGGAACCAACAACATCTAAATGCAGGGCGGCTACCACGAGAAAGCGAGCGGCACCGCGGACATATTTCTAGAGGAGCTGTTGGTGAAGCGTGTACAAGTCAAAAACAGGCACGTCACGTATCACGGATTCACTGACAACGAAACAACTCGTCGTTAGCGACAACATGCAAAAGACAAAGCGACGGATGTGAACACAATGGCATTGTGGAACCCAGACCGTTAGCAGTGAAGAGGGCAGAATGTAGTAAGTGGGCAACATGATGACATAACAGAAACTCGCAGCTAACCAATCTTATGCGTAAAACAAAATACGGGAAAGCACTAGAAGCGGCGCCCTGCACTTGACCAAGATAACAGCTGTTCTTACTTACTTCATTTCTCTCTCTCTCTCTCTCTTGTTATCAAGCCAAGCGGTCGTAAGCGCATCAACCGAGTGAGCTATGTTAATTTTAAGCGCTCTTAACACATTCCTAAGCTAACTAAAAACGGGCTGACGCATTTCATTTTCTTTAGGAATTGTTAGCGTGCGCTTCCCTTATCTTCATCTCTGTTGTTATTCTTTAGCACGAGGTGTTCCCGGCCGCGCAAGCAAGAATATTGGCACCCATAAGGGGAAAAAATAAATAAATAGAAGCAGCGTTTCCTTTCGGTCTTACTTAACCTGATTAAGAGTTAACTCCATTAGCTAACTAGCTCAAACAGCACACCAGCGAAAGTGAGCACATCTTTTCGTTGCTTGTAAAAGCGCGGGATAAACAAAAAAAGACGCGTTCAACAACAACAAAAAGAAGCAAAAGAAAACGGCAACAGCCGAATAGCGCGTCCAAAGCCGAGCATAGCCCAGCTTGCTTCGTCCAGCCAGCCATTCACCGCATCTCGCGCGCACCTTGACAGCGCCGCATTCGCGGGACACACATCCAGACGCAAGATCGATCGGCCTGTCATCGTTGCGCGCGCTGCCATCTCATCGCAATGCAGCAGGGGCTGCTGCCACCCCAAAACCAGCGCTGCCTGCCAACCCGGGCGCAAACCAGTGCCCTAACGCGATGCTATACAAGAGAGCACAATAGACGACGACGACGCCGACCGTGGCTGAGGACTACACGTCGAGTTGCGTAACTCTGCGACACACCCCCTCTTCTTCACGGACTGCACCGGTTTAATTAAACACGCGCCACCACTGTGCCCGGTACGTCAACTGCGCGCTCCGTTGTAGGCTATAAATTAAGCGGTAAACGAGCCAAGGAGCGCGTCGAAAAACGGAAAGAAAGCATAGCCAATTGCGATTGTGCTTACAGCCATGATTGACACGAATTGTTCTCGCGGCGAAAAGCATATGTTATACGAGCGGGAGAGCTAAGCAACCGGTGATGATTGTAATTACTAGCACACACTTAGTTGCCCACACTGAGGGAGGTGGGAAGGAATGAACTGCGACACGCCCTCACCTTGAACAATTAAGCAAAGATTTTTCTGTCGCAGAAAGAGAGAGAGAGAGAGAACACAACCGCTCACGGCTACGGCAGTTGAACCACGTCACCAACCTTCAAACAGCGTTGTACTGAAGCTACGAAATACAAATACGCAAGAAAATCAACGAAAAAGGACCTCAGGTAAAGCGGGATAGAAAAGGATGTCAAGAAACTCAAGAGATAAAAGCAGCAGCTAGGAAATCAGCGTGCGCATGAGCCATATATAACATGAGCCTTGTTTCACTTCTTAACTACGCTAACCGTACGAATCGAGTAAGCGGCACTTGCTTGCTGAAAGTGTGAATGATGGCCAACAAGCACCCGGCGTAATGAACGATGTCTTTCAAGAAGGCAATACACCTCTTTATATATATATATATATATATATATTAGATATATATACAGACCAGTAATGCCAAGGAATGTACAGGGGCAGTTATTAGAACCAATGGAATGTAAATAAGAAGAAAGAAAAGTGGATGAAAAAATAACCAGCCGTGCTCACGGCGGGTTATATATATATATATATATATATATATATATATATATATATATATATATATATATATATATATATATATATATATATATATATAATATGCCTTAACGGCCGAGAGCAGCCGATTGCCTCTATGTGTTCGAGATGCCCTCCGACGGCGGGTTCACTGAAATTCCAGCTTACGATGTTAGTGATACGCCGGAATTTCCATTTAGGGCTTGTACCTACTCAGAAGTCGAATAAGTTGTAGAGGGCGCACTCATCGGTACAGGCTAGTGCACATCCACCTGTGAGCTGGAAATGCTGCTGCCTATATACAAAAGCCGAACCCCTGCAGATGCATGCATTATATCGCAGACAATATTTTTTCATGGTCCGCGTACAAAAAACACACAGCGAATACTTCTTCGCAAATCTAACGTGTTTCAAATTTGTATGCACGCGGTCATGAATATACAACGCAAGCGGGCTTTCTCAAAACAGCAATTCAGTACGGACTTCAGAATTAAGGCGAAGCTTCATTTTCCTGTCAGCCGCATCGAATCCCGGAATCTTAGTGCGTAAGAAGATGATTCACCTCACTTATGCGCAAATTTTCTAGCCGTCTCGTTTTCACTTCGAATCAGTTATGAATGTTTATTACAACGGTCAGACCAGCCATCAGCGTCTCCCGACTGTTTCATGTTAACGCGTGGAAATTGCAGTATCCAACATTGGACCAAAAGCTGGGGAGGCCTGCGCCGCATAATCAGGGGCAAAAGGGCTTCCGACTATTCAAACTCGACGTAATCTGCACAATTTTATCATTGCTAATAAACGTTTAATAACCATGATCATCGTCCTCGCTATCTGACAACGGGGACACGGCGCTGCACGACGAGAAATTCTGGCAAAATGCAAGGAACCTCTCTGAATGAATAATCGACCTATTTCCCCATGGTTACTTAAAACGATGCTACAAGCTAAAAATAGACCCTTAGTAACACTATTAGTTCTGCACTCCGGTAAACTAATACAAAATATAGCTGTAATTTAAGTTAAACGGCCACGCGACTCATGTAACAAATGTTCAACCCCCCTCCCTCCCTGTCAGTTGTGCAGAAAACATGTACGAAAGCAGTCAATTTTACTTATGTACACACACACACACACACACACACACACACGCACACACACACACACACACACACACACACACAGACACACACACACACACGCAACACACACACACACACACACGAAATGCGTAAGACCTTTATCGAAAGTATCCTGATGAGTTCCACCCCTCATGGACAACGCTACTGGGCGCTCCCACGTGAGGAACGTAAGACAATTTTTACTGTTTTATTCTATCACGTTACTGATGAGTGGCACATGTGGATTCTTCTATGTATACAAAGAAGCAGCTCTGCTTGCGAAAGAGTGTTTTCGGCGTATTTTTCACGCAACTTAATTCGTGCATTTTTGAACCAACGAACATGGTTACAAAAAAAAAGAAAAAAAAAAGACTAATTTCATTTTAAGGTTGCATAAACGCGCGAAACAAAAAAAAAATTGATGGAAAATAAAACAGCCCGAGCTGATCGCACGTGTATACGTACACAGTCGAAAGAGTGGCACCTTATAATTTCGAATTACTCCCCTCGGCTTAACGACTTCCGCGTTCGCAAATTAAACAGGCCATGCGAGCAAAAAGAGCGGCCACCGGGGCGAGGCCGTGTGCGTCTAATTGCCATAAGTCAGCCGCGCGTAATTAGATGCCGCGCGTTGCGCCACGGCGCCGGAATCCCGCGAACACGTCCCGCTCTCGTTTTTCTAGCGGCGGCGGAGAGAGAATAAAATAGTGAGGGAGAGGACGAAAACGACTGAAGGGAATGAGAAATCCGCCTCACTGCCTATTAGTTCTCAAGAATGAAAGAAAAAAAAACGGTGAATGAGGAAGAAGAGAGCGAGATGGAACTAAATCATAACTATTCATATTGGCTCTGATCCAAAGGAACAATTGCAATGCAGGGTATTTCTTGTCC